ACCGTGTGATCTTCGGTGGTTTCTCACGCACTCTCCCGTGTGCGTGCTCAGGGCCAGCCTCACGTCACAGTGGGCTGGCTCTCTCGGAGCCACTGTGTGTTGGGGAGACCCCCGCTGCCTGGGGCTGCTGTTCACCAACCCCTGTATGTTCCCCCTCCAAGACGCGAAGACCAAGCTGGGTTTCTGCTCCAAGTAGAGCTGCAACTCGACACGGCTTTCTCTGCAGGTTGTCCTCTGTCCCCGAGGTCCAACACAGGAGCCACGTGCCCCTGGCAATTCCTCCCCCAGGGAAGTGGCAAAAACATCCCTGGTTGCCGGTGATGGCCAGTGCTCCGTGGAGGGCACGGCGATCAGCACGGCTGCTCTGTTGGGTTATACCATTAACACCTCACTCCCTGCCTTTTTGCACGAGGAGCTGGGGCCGGTTGGATGTGTGGGGCTGCGAGGAGGAGGACAGCCATCCCCATAGTGGTCACCAGCGAGCTTCCGGGAGCGGAACTGGACACTGAGCTTGGTCTCTGCAGTGAATTCCGGCTGCCGGGAGCTGCCTAAGCCAGCGAGCACTTCCGCCACGGCCCCCACCCCAGCGTCCCCTGTCCCGGGGACTCTGCTCCGGGTTTCCCTCTGCAGGAAAGGACCCGGGTCTCAAGGGGAGGACCAGGGCTGGGAGAGCTCGAAAGGTGCAGAGACACCCCCAGCACCTGAGCTCTTTGTGCATTGCGTGCACACCGCCCACGGCCCAGACACGCCCAGGCCTGGGCCGCAGATACCCCGGGCAGGTGAGCACCTGGGCCTGAGAGCACCTGCCAGGGAGGCGCCGCCCCAGAGGCCGGGCCCAGCTCAGCTGGAGGGCAGGAGGCGCCACAGAGAAGGGGCCGGGACCCCACCAGGGTTCCCAGGGAAGAGATGATGACGGAAGGAGACACGAGGACTCCAGCATGTCCAAGTTCAAGCAGTATTTTAGGCATAAATAGACCCAAAAGGTGAAGAAAAGCAGACCTCTGCCCAGAAGCAGAACCCTACGTACAAGGCCAGAGAAAACGGGTCAGTTTGACGCCGGCTGGGTTCAGGGGGCTGCCGCGGGAGGGGCGTGTCCTGGCACATGGGAAGGAGCCCCCGCTCAGTGACATCCCGGGGACACCTCGCCCAGGTCGGTGGGGTCACAGGTGACCTTATGCCTCGTTTCGGGGGCTTGCTGGAAACCCATTTCTCTCTCAACAGCCTCCTAGGGGTGAGGGGCCCCTGGCGGGGCAGCAGGGCAGGGCTCTCAGCGGGGCCTGTTCCTTCCGGACCTGCCGTCTCCACGCGCACAAACCCCACGTCAGCACGGCGCAGACTGACCCGCCCCCGTCACGCCTCCCCGCCGGACGCACACGCCCCGCACGGCGCCGCCTGCTGCTCTGGTCTTCACACCCGCCCCTCTGCTTACGTCCCGCCCTGAGATGTCCAGGGGACCGTCCCGCTGCTGCCTCTGCCCCGGCAGTTGCCAATCAACCTGGCTTTGCTGCAGAAATGGGTCACTTTGCTGGACACTATGGGGTCCGTTTGCGTCCGTTTGTTATACTTAACAGGCGGACATGGATTGCATTAGTATTAAAGTCCACAGTTTATTAATATTTCCATGGTCTTTAGCTGATGTCCTTTTTCTGTCTCGGGGTCCCACCCAAGATGCCACATGACACTTGGTCGTCACGTAGTCTCCTTAGGCGGGTCTTGGCTGTGACGGTTTCTCAGAGTGTCCTTGTTTCGGACGACCGGGACGGTCTGGGGAGGAGGGTCAGGTGTGCGGTAGGGGGTCTCTCGGTCGCGATCTGTCTGTTTCTCTCGTGACCAGGCTGGGGTCACGGGTCACGGGGACGAAGGCCACAGAGAGCCGTCCCGCCACGCCCCGTCAAAGGCACATATGGTCAGCCTGACGCGGCGCTGTCCTGTCCGCCTTGGAAGGTGTGTCCATCCGGCTTCTCCATGAGGACGGGGCGTCTCTTCCTCTGCCCCGTTCACACCCTGCTCGAGGGCCGCCAGGCGCAGCCCACTCTCGGGGTGTGGGGAGTCGTGCTCCCCGCTCGACTGCGGGGATCCTCCGCATTCTTTTTATTTCTTCTGCACGGGAACCTTGTTCCTCCACCTCCAATTTATTTATTGATTCATTACGTCGGGCACTCGTGAATGTTAGTGTGTGCTCACGGATATTAATTTACACTTAGGGCTGCAATCTAACACGGCATTATTTATTCTCTGCCTCTGTCTGTTCAGCCCTGGCCGTTGGGGATGGTTCAGCCACTCCCGTGCCCGTGGAAACGCCGCTGCTCCCTCGTTCTGGGCGCCCCAGCCCTCGGACGCCGCAGACCTGCTGCCATCACCCACTGCACCTGTCCCCACCGCCCACTGCACCTGTCCTCATCACCTACTCAACCTGTCTCCACCGCCCACTGCCCCTGTCCCCACCGCCCACTCAGCCTGTCCCCACCACCCACTCAGCCTGTCCCCACTGCCCACTGCACCTGTCCCCACCACCCACTGCACCTGTCCCCACTGCCCACTGCACCTGTCCCCACCGCCCACTGCAACTGTCCCCACCACCCACTGCACCTGTCCCCACTGCCCACTGCACCTGTCCCCACCGCCCACTGCAACTGTCCCCACCACCCACTGCACCTGTCCCCACCGCCCACTCAGCCTGTCTCCACTGCCCACTGCCCCTGTCCCCACCGCCCACTGCAACTGTCCCCACCACCCACTCAACCTGTCCCCACCGCCCACTGCACCTGTCCCCACCACCCACTGCAACTGTCCCCACCGCCCACTGCACCTGTCCCCACTGCCCACTCCACCTGTCCCCACCACCGACTCAGCCTGTCCCCACCACCCACTGCGCCTGTCCCCACTGCCCACTCAGCCTGTCCCCACCACCCACTCAGCCTGTCCCTATCCCCCACTGCCCCTGTCCCCACCACCCACTGCACCTGTCCCCACTGCCCACTGCACCTGTCCCCACCACCCACTCAGCCTGTCCCCACTGCCCACTGCCCCTGTCCCAACCGCCCACTGCACCTGTCCCCACTGCCCACTGCACCTGTCCCCACCACCCACTCAGCCTGTCCCCACCGCCCACTGCCCCTGTCCCAACCGCCCACTGCACCTGTCCCCACCGCCCACTCAGCCTGTCCCCACCACCCACTCAGCCTGTCCCCACCACCCACTGCGCCTGGTCCCACCTGCTCGGGCAGCGAGGAGGAGGAGGAGGAGGCCGGCGCCCGCGCAGAGGGCTCCCAGGTGAGGTCTGTGCCCTCCCAGGCCCCCCACGCCCGCCGTCTCGGTCTGTTGCACCCGCCCGCGCTCTGCACCTGCCTCCCCTCCCTCAGGCGGCTGTTGTCTTGGCCGTAATTACCCCCTCGCCCTCCGCCTGCTCATTCCAAGACCTGTTTCCTCGTATTTCCCAAAGGCCCCCTTGAAATCAGCTCCCTCCGCTCTCCAACCCAGCGGAGGCAGGGAGAGAACGCGTGTGTCTCCTCCCCGATCGGATTGCTGCCTCTGCAGACGCTGTCCCCGCGCGTCTCGTCCCCACGCCCAGGCGGATTCCGTCCGGGCGGGAGCTGTGAGGGGTGGGGGTCGCACGGCCTGCGGGGCCCCCGCCTGGTCAGCCGAGCTCCCGGGCCGGGCCTGCCAGCCCCCCAGGGCGGAGAGGGAGGAGGAGGAGAGCCTGATTTGAACGAGGGGATGAGGAGACCTGCACAAGAGGACACGGACACCTGTACCGTGCGCTGGTGGGCACAGGGTGGACGCGCCCGGACGCCCCCACGGCCCCCCAGTGTCCACGTCCCCGCCCGAGGGGACACCTTTGACACAGGTGACAACCCATACAGACACCAAAGTGGCCGTCACCCGAAGTCCACGTTTCACGCGGCGCTGTGCGTTCGTTCCGTGGGTTCGGACGCTTGTGCAACGACACGGATCCCCCGTCCTAGAGTCACACGGAGCAGCGGCCCTGCCCTGGCCCCAGCCCGCCCCGCCTGTGCCTCCCGCCGTCCCCAGCCCCGTTTTGCTGCCTCCGCAGCTCTTCCTCTCCCAGAACGCCACCGGGCTGGGATCACACGGGATGCAGCCTTCTCTGACACGCGTCTGTCTCGGAGTAGCGTGCGTCTGCAGTCCCCCGTGCCCTCCCGCGGCCTGAGAGCCCCTTTCTGTTTGGCGCTGAGCCGTATTCCGTTGTCTGGCGCGTGGCGGTTTGTCCGTCCGCTCGCCTGCAGGGGGACGGCGTCTCAGGGGCCTCCGAGCTCTGGCGACTGCGAGTGCAGCTGCTGTTGCCGCCCAGGCGCGGGTTTCCGAGTGGCCGCTGACGTCCGTTCCTTCCGGCTCGCACCCAGCGGCGCGATTGCTGGGGCTTGCGATTGCTGGGGCTGGTTTTGTGAGCCGGCTGCCCCCGGGGCTGTGCCGCTTTCTCCTGCCCGCCAGCAGCGAGAGTCTCTGTTGCTGCTCACCCGCGCCAGCGTCTGGTGTTGCCAGCTTTTCGGGTTCCGGCCGTTCCAGTAGGCGCGTGGCGGTGCCTCCCGTTGTTCTACTGTGCAGGTCCACGGCCTCGCAGGCTCTGCTGTTTCTCCAGCCCTGGAGTGTGTTCGCACACGGGCTTTTCTACACGCAGGGATGGCCCTGTGATTATTTGCAGACCGGGGAGTTTTCTGTTATAATCATGGCTCGATTTATTTTTTTTTTTCTAGAGACACAGACTCTCTACAGCCGACGAGCGTCTGCTCTGGCTCCCGGAAGCGCGGCTCTCCGAGAACCTGTGTTCTCGCTGCTCCCGGGGCCCAGGAAAGGCGTGTTCCCCGTCGATTTGCAGCTGCTGTGACCGGTCCTGGTCCTGGTCCCGGTGCTGGTCCTGGTCCCAGTCCCGGTGCTGGTCCTGGTGCTGGTCCCGGTCCCGGTGCTGGTCCTGGTGCTGGTCCCGGTCCCGGTGCTGGTCCTGGTGCTGGTCCCCGTCCCGGTCCCGGTGCTGGTCCTGGTGCTGGTCCCGGTCCCGGTGCTGGTGCTGGTCCTGGGAGTTGTTTACTCTCATGCAAAGGTGAGACCTTCAGACTGAGGGGAGGTAAAGCAAGTCTGGGGGAGGCAGAGGAGGGCCGGCTGTCCAGCTCTGCCTAGCACAGTGCAATCCCCGCAGCCCTGCACCCCTTCCCCCCGCAGCCCTGCACCCCTCTTTTCGCAGTACTGCACCCCTCTCCCCGCAGCCCTGCAACTCTCTCCCTGCAGCCCTGAACCCCCTTCACAGCCCTGCACCCCTCTCCCTGCAGCCCTATACCTCTCTTCCCACAGTCCTGCACCCCTCTCCCTGCAGCCCTGCACCCCTCTCCCTGTAGCCCTATACCTCTCTTCCTGCAGCCCTGTACCCCCTTCCTGCAGCTCTGCACCCCCTTCACAGCCCTGCACCCCTCTCCCTGGAGCCCTGCACCCCTCTCCCTGCAGCCCTGCACCCCTCTCCCTGTAGCCCTATACCTCTCTTCCTGCAGCCCTGCACCCCCCTTCCTGCAGCTCTGTACCCCCTTCACAGCCCTGCACCCGTCTCCCTGCAGCCCTGCAACTCTCTCCCCGCAGCCCTGCATCCCCTTCACAGCCCTGCACCGCTCTCCCTGCAGCCCTGCACCCCTCTCCCTGCAGCACTGCACCCCTCTCCCCACAACCCTGCAACTTTCTCCCCACAGCCCTGCATCCCCTTCACAGCCCTGCACCCCTCTCCCTGCAGCCCTATACCTCTCTTCCCGCAGCCCTGCACCCCTCTCCCTGCAGCCCTGCACCCCTCTTCCTACAGCCCTGCACCCCCTTCACAGCCCTGCACCCCCTTCATAGCCCTGTGCCCCTAACCCTGCAGCCCTGCACCCCTCCCTGCAGCCCTGAACCCCCCTCAGCAGCCCTGCACCCCTCTCCTGGCAGCCCTGCACCCCTCCCGCCGCTCTGGCTGAGTCTCTGTGCCTGGGAGCTCTTGGAGGGCAGGGCCTGGCCGCTCACCCTCCCCTCCCCACACCCCCAGCTCAGCGTAGCAGACTGGCGAGTGTCTGCTCAGTAAAACCAGCCCGGGAGAAATTCCACCCCCGGTCTCTGCGGAGCCCCCGTCCCTCTCTGAGGCCGGGACTCTGGCAGTCTGAGTTATCTGGTCAGCTCAAGCCATTAGGGAGCTGGGATTGGAACTCCATGCTGATGAGGACACGGCCCACTCACGGCCAGACGGGCCTGACGCGAGTGCTCCCGGCCGAGGTCATGCGGAGGAGTGGGCGGGGGTGGGGGGAGCCCTGTGTCCTCCCAGAGAGCCTGGCCCCGGGGAACGCCCTGGGTGGGGGCGGACGGGCAGAGGGACAGCGAAGGGCTCGAGGACTCGAGCCCCTCGTTCAAGGACGAGAGCAGCTGAAACCGGCACACGCTTAGAAAGGAAAGGGAGGACGGAAACTAGTCAGACTCTAAATGAGAAACTCGCCGCCTGGCTCGTTAGCTGTGACCGAGGAGCCTCGCGCCAACGCGCCCGGGCGGGTCCGCAGCAGCTGGGGCGGCAGCCCCGACGAGTTCATCACCCTGGTGATCGCCGGTCCTCGCAGGAGCAGAACCAGCGGGAGACTTGCACACGAACGAGATTTAGTCAGCGTAGGTGATCGCGAGGGCTGACAAGTCCAAAACCCCCCGGGAGGCTGGGACTCGGGCAGGAGTTGAGGCTGCAGCTCGGGGACAGAACTTCTGCTTCTCCGGGAACCTCAGCTTTTGCTCTGAGGACCTTGGACTGGTGGGACGAGGCCCCCATGGACAGAGGTCACTGGAGGTGACTCCCGCATCTGCCAAATGCACTCACACGGGTACAGGGACTTCCATGTGATTCGTCACTGGCTACCGTGGCATGCAAAACTGACCATTGCACCCAGCTGACAGGGGAGGGCAATGAGGCCCGGAGGGGCGAGAGTGGATTTCCTACAATTACACAGCCAGGGCTGAATGTTGGTGAAAGAGCAGAATGAGCTATACCGTGCAGTAGTAACCAAAAGATCTGAGGTGGCTGTATCGGTATCAAATACAACAGACTTCAAGGAAAAGTTTGTTTCTAGACACAAAGAAGTACGTTTTATAAGGCTTAACGGGTGAATCCATCAAGAAGATAAAGCAGTTATCAACATATACGTACCTAAAAAGAGAGCAAGGCCGACAAAACTGCAGGGAGTAATAGACAACGCAACAATAATAGCTGCAGACTAAGCTGAACATACAATGAGATAGGAACCTAAACGACACCATCAGCCAGCTAGACCCAGCAGACATCCAGGGACATTCCACCCACTAGCAGCAGAATACACGTATGTACATTCTTCTCAAGTGCACACGGAACATTCTCCGGGACAGACCCTATGCTAGGCTGCAAAACAAGCCTCAGTAAATAGAAAAGGCTAAAATCATACAAAGGACACTCTGCAAGCACAGTGGAATAAAATTATACACCAGTAGTATAAGGGAATCTGGTAAATTCATGAATATATGGAAATTAAGCAACAACACTCTTAAATAGCCAAAGGTTTGAGGAAGAAATCACAAATGAAGTATGAAACTATTTTGAGACGAGTAAAAGCAAAAACTCAACAAACGGAGACTCATGCAGCTTGTCCACTTTTCAAAGAAGCCAGCTGAGCCTTGACAGCTAACGCCGTGCTCAGAGGAAAATTCATAGCTGTAAATAGCCGCACTAGAAAGAAGCAAGATCTCAAATTAATGACCTGATCTTCCTCGTGAAGACTAGCCTAACCTCACATAAGCAGAAGGAAGGTGATGGTAAGAGTAGAGAGGACATACCTGACACATAGAATAGAAAACCGATGCATAAGTCCGTGAAACTGAATCTTCTCAAACCGATGCACAGGTTCAGTGAGATTCCAAGCTTCTCTGAAGGAATGAACAAGCTGATTCTAACATTCCTACGAAAATTCATCGAGAATATCCAAGTCAACCTTCACAAAAATAACAAAGCCAGGGGCACTCAAACTTCCCAATTTCAAAACTTACAACAAAGCTACTGTAATCAAGACACTTTTTTTTTTAAAGGGTGACTTTTATAGTGTCTGAATTATGTCTCAAAAAAAAAAAAACAAAACTGTCAAGGCAGTGATGTATTTTTTTTTGTTTCAGCATATTATGGAGGTACAAATTTTAAGGTTTCAAATAATGCCCTTCCCCCCTCCCCCCACAAGTCTGAGCTTCAAGCTTGACCATCCCCCAGACGGTGCACATCTCACTCATTAAGCATGTATATATACCCGCCTCCCATCCCCTTCCCACCCGCACTAACCAGCCAATTACTGGTAGTTCCTATGTGGTCCACTAGGTGGCTGCTCAGTTAATGACCAGTTTTGCTGGGTGAGTCCATGTGGGTGTTTTTTTCCATTCTTGGGATACTTCACTGGTAGAATGGTTTGCCCTCTATGGCAGAAATACAAGAGGGTGCTAGGTCAACGTTGTTTTCTTAGCAGATAGTACTC